CGGAAGGCCAGCTCCCCCGGCTTGGGCCGCGTGTGTTCACACTTGGTGATGCACTGGGTACCTGGAACCCAGCGCCTCTGGGGTGAGGGGACAGAATAGTTATAGATTATAGATGGGACACACACACACACACACACACACACACACACACACACACACACACACACACACACGAGGAGGCAGCGGGAATAGCAATCGCGAGACACACAAGTCACCAAGGGACAGAGTAAAGCCAGAGAGATTGAGACAGAGAGGTCAGAGAGAGGAAGACAGAGGGCAAGAGAGATGTCAGAGTCACAATAACAGAAGAAGGGCCCGGAGAATAAAGGAGGAAGCCTGGACCAAAACCCCAGAGGAGAGGAGCGGAGCCCAGGCAGGGACCGACTGGACTCACCGTGGGCATTCTGGCTGCGATGGTGGGGGGGTGCCAGGCGCGGAGGAAACGCGGACTCACCTGCGGGTACAGAGACAAGCTAGAGCCCAGGGTCCACCCACACTTGTCCAGCCCGGGCCAGGTGGGCCCAGTAGCAACAGGCAGAGCGGGTCCCCTTATTGGCTGCTGGAACGGCTCCTGACCCCTCGGAAGGGTTTTTACCCGGGGTTCCTTGGCAGAGTCACAGCCATCAAGCGCCACGAGGGGAACCACGGAACCTCGTCCAGCCATGGTCTCCCAGGGGAGATGGGCGCAGGAGGGCAGGGCCAGGGGCACCAGCTGGGGAGGGCAGAGCGCTGGCTGTGGTCCTGGCCCTGCGAGGCCCCTGCAGACTGCGACGTGGGTGGGGAGCTCCGCTTGGCTGCGGCCAGCTTCTTCCTCTTTTCTGGGAGGTGGGCAGGGGCAGGGCCCGAAGAGCAGGGATGAGTCAAGGTCATTCCAAGTATCTCTGACCTCGGGGCGGAGGTGGGGGCGGGGACGGTGCGGCCCTGCTGGGCTCCCTGCTCGTCACCCGAGCCACCCAGGACGCCCCACGAAGTCTCTCTGCGGTGACAGCCTGCTATCTCACCCCCTGTCGTTACAGTGCCCCAGCTTGGACACTTCAGGTCCCTGGGCAGTGGCAGGGGTGAGCCCCAGGCCCCCTCAGTCTGCCCCGCACGCACCCCCGCGCGCGCACAAGCACACACAAGCTGGGTATGGGCGCCCGCGGGCACGCAGGGCCGCCAGCAAAGGCGCGTCCACCTCGAGGCAGGTGCGCGTGGCCACGCGGGGCCGCGCACAGGCGCTCGGCCGGCACGTGCGCACCTGCTCGCCGTGCCCGCGCTCAGCCGCGGGAACACCTGGAGCGGCGCGCACGCAGCGCAGACCCACGCGCGCAGCAGCCACAGGCACGCGCGGGCGCACTCCGCGGGTGCGCGCCCCTCTGCACCCCGTGAAATCCTCCCACCCGCACCCCACCCACCCGGGCCTGCTTGGCCCCAACTCCAGCATCGTCCCCTGCTCCGATGCGTACTCTGCGCGCGCGCCTGGAATGCGCACATGCGCCCCGCCACTCCCTGCATGCCAGGTCCCCCCACTTCGCTCCAGCACCCTGCGGTCCCCACCTCACTGCGCGG